GCTCCATGTATGTTATTTCCATCCTAGGAAATAGCACGATCCTCCTTGTCATCAAGGCAGATCACAGCCTCCGCAAGCCTATGTACCTCTTCCTGTGCATGCTGGCTGTTGCAGATCTTGGCGTGTCCCTGTCTACTCTGCCCACGGTGCTGAGCGTGCTGCTCTTTGATTCGCGGGAGATTGAGTTGGATGCTTGCCTCGCTCAGATGTTCTTCATTCACTGCTTCTCCATCATGGACTCAGGAGTGCTGTGGGCCATGGCCTTCGACCGCTTCGTGGCCATCTACAACCCACTGCAATATGCATCAATACTGACCAACTCCCGGATAGGTCTCATTGGGCTGGGGCTCGCGGTGAGGAGCGTTATCCTCTTGATCCCCTTGCCAGTTCTCCTGACCAGGCTGCCGTTCTGCAGGTCCCGTGTGCTCGCTCACTCCTTCTGCCTGCACCCCAACTTAATCCAGCTGCCGTGTGCAGATGTGCGGGTGAACAGCATGTATGGCCTATTCGTCCTGCTGGCCACGTTTGGGCTAGACTCGCTCTTTATTGTCCTCTCTTACGTTATGATCATTAAGACTGTGCTGAGTATTGCATCCAAGGAGGAGCGCCTCAAGGCCCTGAACACCTGCATCTCTCATATCTGTGCTGTCCTGATTTATTACATCCCCATGATCGGCTTATCCATGGTGTACAGGTTTGGGAAGCATGTACCTCCTCTGATTCACGTCCTCATGGCCAACATCTACCTTCTTGTGCCCCCTGTGTTAAACCCCATTATTTACAGTATGAAAACTAAACAGATCCGCAGAGGCATATGCAAACTACTAACTCCAAAATGACACTGATGTAACGCACAGAATATCCAAGACATTTTGCACATGGTAAAACATATGGTGAATAACAGTTTAGAGGCTATCTGCTCCACCCTGCCATCCATTTGCCTGTTGAGGATCCTGAATTTTAACCTCTTTCCATACTGCAGGTGTCTACAGCCTTCTGCACATT